ATTTATTAAACGAAAAAGGGAAAATACAGTAAAACATTTTGGACGTTACAATTATCATTTATTATTTATTATATTATTTATGGCATCAAGCATGTACAGTATGAGCCAATCAGTGGCAGTAATGACAGAGCATGCGCTGTTACACAAAAACCGTGATAGAGTGAAGCCGATAGAGTGAAGCCACGGAAGTCGAAGCGTGAAGTGGCGAGGGTTCACTGTATCTTCATTGTGTAAATTTTTCCTGCATGACCAGCGTTAATTGAGGTCAGGCTCCCTCTAGACCAGCAGTTAACAACCTGAGGGACATGACCCCTTTGGGGGTCGAACGACCCTTTCACAGGGGTCGCCTGATTCATCACAGTAGCAAAATTACCGTTTTATGAAGTAGCAACAAAAATAATGTTATGGTTGGAGGGTCACCACAACATGAGTACCTGTATGAAAGGTTCGCAGCATTGGGAAGGTTGGAACCACTATTCTAGACACTCTCAGAAAAGCTTTTCGTGCATCTTCAGCTTCTAGTGGCCCACGGTGCCCCGTGGTTTGTGGCAGTGTAATTCACCTCCGTCTCTGCTTCAAGAAACTGCTGTCCCTATAAGTCTGTGTGTACTTTTCAGTCTCTAGGATGCGCTTATTGGATTTAGGGCCCACCCTAAGCCAGTAGGATCTCCTGTCAATCTTTACCTTACTTATATCTGCAGAAATCCAATTTCCAAATGGGGTCACACACTTCTGTTGTTTTGGGATGGCCAAGCCCCCTGTCCCCAGGGGGTCAGGATGCTGACAGATTTTTCAAATTCTTTCCCTATTCTAATGTTCCTTTTAAATGGTTTTAAGTTTTTGGGGTTTGTTTGTTTTTTAATATACCATATGATGTGGGCCATAAGAAATATATCTAAAGAGATTTTATTTGGATGTTGAAGAGTATTGGTGAAGTGGAACTTGGGAGAATAGCCAAGAAGAACCATGTTAGGAAATAATTAGTGTGAAGATATCTGGGTAGAAATGAGTTCTTGACCTGTTCTGAAATCCATTGGGAATGAAGCATTATCAAGAAAGGCGTGAGCAGTGTGAGAGCAGGCGGAGGATAAAAACTAGCACTGATTGAGCACTTACTGCCTGCCACTGTTCCAAGTACCTCTCTTGTGCTAACTCAGTGAGCTCTCACAACCCTCTGAGATGGATTCTGGTATTGTCATGTTGCAGTAAGACAACCGAGGCCCAGAGAAGTGAAATAACTTGTTCATGTTCACACAGTGATTAATTGTCAGACCAGCATTCAGCAGCACCAGTGACTTACCTACTATCTGTTACTGTCTCATTGTCAAGATCAGGAGCTCAGAGGAGGGATTAAAGCCAGAGGCACATTTGAGAGAAAGATGGATTTGTCAATTTTTTCCCCTCCAAAACCATTATATTGGGAGCTAATCCAGATAGCATATGGTTCCATAGTTCCCTCACATCAAGCAGTATTGTACATTTGCTACCACAATCAGTTTCAAAACATTCTCTTCCATCTTGAACTCCAGAACATCAGCTCCCTTCCCCCACAACCGCCACCACCACTGTACCCAGCAGAACCCTTCTGTACTTGCTGTCTCTAAAGGGTCATCATTCCTAGGTGTGAGCTTGTTCTATGACCTCAGTCATTTCTGTGTTTGACCATTATATTAGGAGAAACATTTTTGGCTGGTTCAGGGCCTCGTCTGCTAAGAAGTATCTGCTAGAATGGAACTTCAGATTCTCCTGGATGCTCCACCTTTTGGAGCCATGCCGGCTGGGTGAACCCCAGAGCTCATGCCTGACAGAGGAAACCAGCCTCTAACAACCGCAGGGTCTGTAGGCGCAGCTGTACAGTGATACTAAATAAAGATCATAGCAAAGTCCTAGAAGACAGGAGAGAAAGTAAAATAAAGGATTTGTCAGACACATTTTATGGTAGCGTGCTCACCTCCAGCAGCCAGGTCTGCAGAGAGAATCTTTACTGTCTTGGGATATTTATAGGTAGCCATAAGACATGCACATTCAGTCGTTACACACATCAGAAGATGGCTGGTAACCACAGTAAAGTCCCTGAGCTCACAGGTGAGCAAACCCCAATACCTGCATTGGGCGAAGGCATGAGGTGGGGGATGGGCTCTGCAATAGGAGGAGATAACAAGAATGTCTGCTTCTATAGGGAGACAGAATCAACCATGTGCTCACTTTAAGGCAGCATAGCTGTTAAGGGAGAATCTGTGAGAATAATATCTAAAGCAGGGTCATGTACTTGGACTTTATCTGTAACTTACCAAAATGGTGACTTTCCTATCGTGGAATACTAGCTTTCCTGATTCCCTCTGTTATAAGTTAGGGACTGTAGTTCCAGCCATATTTCCCTCAGTGTTAGTTTCCCACAATTTCCCTGACATAATCATTAAGGCTTAAATCAGAAATATCCCCTGAAGTCTTCTTAAATAATACCATATGATGTGGGCCATAAGGAATAGTGGGCCAAATAAAAATGTCTGCCTTACTGGACCCTTACAGAAGGGTCTCGGGGAGGAGATGAGCCAGCCAGGGTGCAGTGCAGCAACAATGAAACATACAACTTTCCTCTAGTTCTTAAATACTTCCTCCCCCCACTATCATGATCTCAATTCTACCTAACAAGTCTGGCTAGACCAGAGGATGTACACTGGTACAGATAGGAACCAGAAACATAGGGAATGCAGGACAGATGATCCCTTCAGGACCAGTGGTGAGAGTGGCAATACCAGAGGGTGGAGGAAAGGTGGGGTAGAAAGGGGCAACCAATTACAAGGATATACATATAAACCCTCCCTGGGGGACAGATAACAGAAAAGTGAGTGAAGGGAGCCATCGGGCAGTGTAAGACATGACAAAATAATAATAATTTATAAATTATCAAAGGTTCATGAGGGAGGGGGTGGCAGGGAGGGAGGGGTAAAAATAAAGAGCTGATGCCAAGGGCTCAAGTAGAAAGCAAATGTTTTGAGAATGATGAGGGCAGTAAATGTACAAATGTGCTTGAGACAATGGATGGATGGATGGATGGATTGTGATAAGAGTTGTAGAGCCCCCAATAAAATGATTTTTTAAAAAAGAGGAATGGCAGGAGGAACCGATAGCAATGTTGGATGTATGCCCCCTCAAGGGGGACATAGAACAGAAATGTGGGTGAAGGGATACATCAGACAGTGTAAGATAGCAATTATTTATATATATAAATATATATAAAATAAAGGTTCACAAGGGTGGGAAGGGAGGGAGGGAATCAAGAGGAACTGAACTGATATCAAAAGGCTCAAATAGAAAATGTTTTTAAAATGGTGGCAACATCTGTACAAGTTCGCTTGATATAATTGATTTATGGATTGTTATAATATCTGTAAGAGCCCCCAATAAAATGATTGATTTAAACAAAGTTAACGTAAAACCACTACCATATCACATATATGTGTAGATAAATACATATTTACTTTTAAAAAACATTAAGTAGTGGAAAATGGAAAAAAGTCTGCCTTGGTATTTTGCTCTTTTAAGATCTGACAATATGGGGTCAGTTTGATAACAGTAACTCAAAAGATCAGATAGGAACCTTAGGGAACAATGAGTCTATGTCAGTGGAGGAGGAACTATTCAGAAAAGGGGAGTGATGCTGGTCATACAGTTTGAAGAATGTAGTCAGTGTGCACGTAGAAACTGTTGGATCGGTGGATTAACTGTGCATATTTCTACCACCAACATTTTTTTAAAGAAGTAACTGCTAGTTTGCAGTTTCTTCTAACAAGTCCTGCCAGGTGATCTCTCTGGAATTTCAAGATTGAGCCGTTCTTACATTTGTAATTTTCTGGCTAAAAGAAATGTAACTTTACTCCAGTTTCAATATTCAGAAACCACTAATTATGGGTGATGGAAAACAGATTTCTACCCTATAATTTTAATAAAGATTGCTTAGTAGATAACACATTTTTTATGATTTTTCAGAAACCCAGCAGTGCACAGTATGAGAAAGAGTGTTTGGAGTTTATTTTGGCAGTACGTTAAACACATATTCCTTTCTTGTGGTGGTCATGGTGAAGTGCTGTTTAGTTGATTCCAACTGGTAGCACCCTATATATGACAGAATGAAATACTGCCTGGGCCAAGCACCCAGTAACCCTTTACTAATATTAATGACCTTTACCTCTTTTTCCTTGAAATGCAAACTCTATGAACATCCAAATTCTCAAATTTGGTAAAGAGAGGTACTTAACTAACCAAATTAAGGAAAACACAAATACCAGAGAAAGTTAGCTTCTCCCAGTTACTCGCCCTCTCCCACATCCTGCTGCCAGGAGTAAATTAGATTTTTCTAAAATGTTCACTCTAGTCTCTAATGGACTTCCCCTTTTAGGGAGGAGGTGAGCAGGTGGAGCTCTTTGACCTTTTAGATCTTTGTCATGTTCTCATGCCTTTGTGCATAGTAACAGCCCTGACTGGAATGCCCTACCCCTTGTCAAAGCTCCGTTCGCTTTGCAAGACCTTGTGCAGATGTTCGGTCCCTGGTGTCTGGCACAACTCCACTTTTCTGCCATAGCCTTCTGTGCCCACACCATTTAGGATGGCATAGCACTTAGAATATAGGAAAACGGGTAGCTTGTACAGTATTGCTTACTCTCTTCTACTCAATAATGTATTCTTAGATTACAAAGTTTAAATCTGTATATCAGAACAGCGTCTGCCTTTTAGCATATGGAGCACCCTGTTGAAGACAACTAACCTTAGTGGTTCGGAGCTTCAGAACCACACTTCAGTCAGTTCCTAAACAAGCCAGTCACTACCTCAGTGAGACTGCGCTCATGCTCTATGGACAGTCGTCCAGGGTTACAACACTCTAAATTTCTAGCCCTAATCCCCACTCACCAAACTATGTATTTTATTTTATTTTTTTACAAAACAACCTTATCACCTTCAAAGTACTCTGTATTCCACTTAATACATTTGTCAAATCTGTGGTTCCATTCTTGGAAACATTTTTCAAACTTACATGTCTGGGTGGCAGGCAGCACCTCCCTCATTTTTTTCTTCACCTCTTCAATGTCATCAAGTCGCTGCCCTGTCATGTCCCTCTGCATTCCCAGAAACAAAAAGAAGTCACATGGAGCAAGGTCAGGTGAGCAAGGTGTGTGGGGCAAGAGAGGCATGCTGTTTTCTAGCAAAAAATTGGCACATGAGATGGCTGCATGAGCAGGTGCATTGTCATGTCATGGTGGCAAAACCAGTCCCCGTTTGCCACAAATCAGACCTTTTTTGTCACACACTGTTACACAATCTTTACAGAACCTCTAAATAGAAAGCTTGATTAACAGGCTGACCTGGTGGAATGAACTCCAAATGCACTATCCTCTACATATCAAAAAAACAAATGAGCATCGTCTTGATCTTTAACGTAATGAGCTTTTCGGGGTGAGGTGACAATGGCGCCTCTCCTGCCTTGGTTGCCTTCGCGCCGAGTAGTCCCTGGTAATGACCTTGGGAATAAAGTCTGGGTGGCTTCAGAGCTGTTCTTTCAAAGCATGGCACATTCCCACTTCACACACTTTTCCTGGTCAGTGAGAACCTGAGGGGAAATTTCACAGCGATCCTTCTCATTCCCAAATCCATTAAAATTTGCTGAATCAAGCTCCAAGATAGTCCAGATAACTCCCCCATCTCATCAATGATACGACATTGGTCTTCAAGCACAAGTGCACAAATTTTATAAACATTTTCGTCCGTTTGGAAAGTTGATAGCCGAGGTTTTTTTGTCATCAATCGACATTTCACCTTTTTTGAAACAAGAAAATCACTTATACACTTTCGTTTTCCCATAGCATTGTCCTTGTAAGCTGTGTTCAACATCACAACAGTTTCTGAAGCATTTTTCCCAAGAAGGACACAAATTTTCACAACTGCATACTATTCTCTTAAATTGTCAATCACAAAAAACTAGGTTCTAGGGAAACTGCTTTTACAAAAAAATTCACTGTGACCAGAGAGAACCTTCCCAGGTGATGCCACTGGGTGCACTAACTCAGAGTGAGTTGCTTGATGCTCACCTGGGGTGGGGGTGGAAGTGCACTACGAAAGCTCCGCCCAGCAGAGCTAGTTCCCGTTTGGGGGAGAGTACCCCCCCCCCCCGGTGTGTGTGTGTGTGTGTGTGTGTGTGTGTGTGTGTGTGTGTCTATGGTCTAAACAATGCTTTTTTATTATTAGGAGATCTTCGGTTGCTTCTGGCTCATATCCATCCTCTGTACCACTGAATGAAACACTTTCCAGTCTTGCACCATTGTTCTTAAGTTTGAGCTCATCGTATCAATCCGTCTTTCCTAAGGCCTTCCTCTTTATTGCTGCCCTGCCACTTTACCAAGCATGATCCTTCTGTGGGAACTGGTTTTCCTGACAACTTGTCCAAAGCCCATGAGATGAAGTCTTAACATCCTTGCTTCTACGGAGCATTCTGGTTTTACTGCTTCCGAGACTTGTGTGTTGCTGAAATGCTAGAAGCTATGTCACTGGTATTTCAAATGCCAGCCGAGTCACCCAAAGTGAACACGTTTCAGTGGAGCTTCCAGACTAAGAACAGACTATGAAGAAAGAATAGCATGTGCGCTTTTGAGGAATTAGCCACTACAAACCTTATGGATAACGTCGAAATAATGTTTATTCCTTTGAATTCGCTCTTTAGAAGATACAGCAGTGTTCTCACATACCCTAGTTTATAAAGGGCTTGTTAGAGAGAGAGAAGATGGTAAGACCACAATACCTTCCACTTAATGATGTTTTTGTTGGCAACTGAAGTTTCTGCTGCCTCAGGACTCCCAAGTTGGCATGAATTTGCAGAGGTCATATTTCCAGAGTGATGCTCTGTATTTGTTTGGCAGGTTGCCTGGATGGCTCCTTTTGTTGGTTCTCCCTGAATGATACCCACTAGATTTGCTAGACTTTCGAAGGTGACCTAACCTCTGGCGTAGCTTAAGTTGTATTTTGGGCTCTGTTTTTGGCTCTAGCATAAGAAAAGGACATTTCACTTTCTCTTTTTTTTTTTTTACCCTGATTTGTAGCAGTTTATTAAAACAGGAAAAAGCCTCCAAAGTACATTTATGACCCTTTCTTTATATAAATAACGGTCACAAAATTTAAACAATTTTTCCGGCCTTGCTGCCCCACCTGCCCAAGGCCCCAAAGTCCCTCCCATCTCCTAAAGGATGCAGAGAGAGCCATGAGGTCTCACGGAGCCACCAAGTTAATGGTGTGTGTCATTTACATTGAGGGCATGGCATGTTTGTAAACTAGCTCGCCACTGAGTGATGAAATGTACCACTGGCTCAGAACTCTCCAACTGGAAGGACGGGCAAATCCTCATCAACAATGCACTGCGGAAGCTGGAGAAGCATTAAAGAACCCTGGTTTTTCTGAATCGGAGGATATGGAAACCTCCTAAGAGCAAGCTCCATGAAAGAAATCCCTAAGCTCTAATCACCAGAATGGATTCCCTATTGCTCTCCTGAAATCCTTTCAGGAGCCATATAAACATTTGTTCCAACATAGGTCTTGGGTGTAGAATTCACCAGCCGAGCGCTGACTCCAGAGTCACACAGCTTGACCTGTGCTCTTGTGTTCACTAGCATATTGGAGGCCTTCGTGTCTTGCAAGGGGTGTGCACAAAAAGGCTGAGTTTTGCTCTGTGTCTAGCTTTCTCTTTTTATGAAGTCTTTTTTTTCCTGGAAGAATGCCCTATTTCATTAAATTGTAAATGCCATCCAATATGTGATGCATCTCATTTTCATGAACATTAAAATGTCCCTAAGGGTCTTACAAGGAATGGCAGTTGTTCTTGGAAATTTTACTAATCAGCTATCAATTTTCTGCCTAATGTCCTTTCTGAATTTAGTTCCCCGAGAAGGCGCAAAGCACTAGTAAATTTTCCTCTAACTCTTGTTTTTCCCTACCAGTTGCTTTTCGACTCTATGATTTGGATAAAGATGACAAGATTTCCCGGGACGAGCTGTTACAGGTATGTAGGAGCGCTCCTGGGCGTGTGGCAACTTGTGTTTGGGCCCAGCCTGCTTCTTCGCGCCTGCAGAAAGCCTTTAACCCTATCTCTTGTGTTATGGAAGAGGCCTGTCCATATATAGCACAGAGAGATGGCTTGGAAACTGGAAATGGCTTGCTGAGTTCTAACAGATGGAAAATATCATTATTTAAGAACTAGTATAATGTCTTTTAGGTGCTGATGACGAAAGCAGTATATAGTTTAGATCAAATTGTTTAGTTATTTCTAAACCATCTATGCACAACCAGGAAACTGGGGACACTTAAGAAAGGACTGCTGTTTATTTTATCCTTGAGCTTGACGTGAGAGCCAAGGGCCTGCCGAAGTGCTGGTGACACTGACCTTGCTGTTTCTCCCTGGGGACAACTGGCCCACTACTGTCCGTGACTGGTGGGGCATCGTACTAAATCACCCTGGCCTTCTTTTCCCCTCCTTGTACCTCTTTCTAAAAATTTGAGAAAAGCGTCCCTTTGAAAAATATGTTTTTAAATATATGTTTGAGAGGAGCCCCAGTGGGGTCGTGGTAATGCACCAGGCTGCTAACGACACGGTCAGGTCAGCAGTTTAAAGCCATCAGCTACTCTTGGAGAGAAAGAGGAGGCTTTCTACTCCCATAAAGATGACAGGTCAGAAATCCACAGGGGCAGCTCGACCCTGTGCTATGGGCTTCCTGAGTCGGCTTCGACTCGGTGCCTGTGAGAAGACATCTGGAAGACTAGCCTGCCCGACCAGGAACGTGGGAATCCGCTATCTTATGGCGAACCTAAAATGTATGGTGGTTTCCACTCACCCTGAAGCCAATTTAAACTCCTTCACTGTCTCGAGAAGTCTTCCAAGGTGAGGATTACTTGGTGCTATTTAAGAGCCACCCAAAATGTTCATCCATTTCTTGATGGGTGGGAAAATAAAACCATCTGCAGATCATTTTTGTTCGTGTATATGTGTGGTTTACACTATGGTTAGTGAATGTATATGGGAGTAAGGATAAGAGAAGAGCCACATTTAAGCAATTTCATTTCACCACGCTATGTTATAGTCAGGGTGGGTTCCTAGAAGGAATTCAAGGTTGTTTTAACATTATAAAATCTGTGTATTTCACCAATTACTAGATTTTTTAAAGAAAAAGTAAATGGTCTTTTCCATAGAAAAAGACATTTGTTGAAATTCATCATCTCCACATGATTCAAAGAAAATAAGTCTTAGAAAATCAGGAAGGAAGCTTTCTTTAACTAGCAAACAGGGTATACGAAAACTCTCATGGGTTCCTGGTGGTGCTGTGGCTTCAGCATTGGCCTGCTAACCATGATGTTGGCTGTTCAAGCCCACCAGCCACTCCGGAGAATGATGAGACTGGCTGCTGCTGTAAAGGCTGCCAGGCTTGGAAATCCCAGAAGCGGTTCTGCTTTCTCCTGTAGGTTGAGGGGAGTCAGAATCAGGTTGGCAGCAGGGGGTTTGGTGAGATGAAACTCCTCACAGACATGCAGATGGTAACAATAGCAACAGTAAAAGGCTGGTTACTAGTAGACTTCAGGCTAGAACAACAGGAAGTGGCAACATGGAAAGGGAGTGCAAGAGGATAGAGATTCACACCACTGGTGGTTGGGGTCAGGGTCAGGTTACCCCTGGGCCCTCATGTGCTTGTGAACAAACTGGACAAGGTCATCTTTAAGTCCTCAGACCTCCTGCCCCGTACAGCTGAACACACATGCACAATCTAGTCCTATCATTCTACAAAGAAGCACCTCAGGAAAGCAACCTGATGAAGCTGCTGATGGAGGATGGATTTGTCTGGTTCGCCACACCCAGGGAAGATGGCAAACCGGCCACGTGGGGATTTGAATGAACTTTTCTTATGTACATTTTTTTAGCCTGAAAATCATCTTTTATTTATTTTATTTTTATATGTTCTTGTGTACATTTTTACCTCTTGAAGAAAGCAACCTTTACTGTCCAAGAATTTTTTTTTAAATCAGTTTTAATGCAAATCAGTATTTTTTTTTTCCTTTTCAGAGAATCTTGTCATTTGTCTTAAAAAAAAATATTTCATGAAGATAAGAGAGGCAAATGTTTATTGACCAAATTTTATTACCAAGGGTAGGGGAAGATGAAAGGTTAACCATGATGAAGAATTACTTGGCTCAAGGCTAGGGCAGCACAGCCAAGTATTGTAATTGCTGTCAATAAGTTGTATGTGTATAAAAACTTAAATTGATAAAAGCTATGTGATAACTATATTTATCACAACAACAAAACAGCTGGGTTTTTGTTGCTATAACAACAAACACACCTTGGTTCGGAGGGTTAGTGTCCTGGTTTATGGGACATCCCAGTTCATTGGCTGATGATGTACTTGGTGCCTTTGTTCTCCGTCTTACTGCATGTGGGTTGGCTGGGATCTTAAAGGCTCATAACAGACTTCCAAGGCACAACTGGTCTCTGTTCTCTTGGCGGAGAATATGGAATGTATGCCTAGTTGCTGTGGAGAACAACTGCCTCCTTTGTCCTGAAACCAGAAGAACTGGTCCCCAGTTATCATCACTATGTGTTTTTGTCAGTGATTTCATAGAAGAATCCTGATCAGAAGGAAGACAATGCAGTACAGATTACAAATTCTCATGGACTCTGAACTTTCTGGAGCCATAGGGAGTGAATGAACCCCTGAAACTATTACCCAGAAATCATCTTTAAAATCTAACCCACCCACCCACCCCCCAAAAAAAATCATGTGAAGCCATCTTAAAACCAGGCAGTAGTTTGGCTTAGCTAGAAAGGCAGCCTTGAGTATTATATTATTTTTAAGAAGTACCTGTATGGGATCAAAATGACACCAACAATGAGAAAGATTAGATATGGACGAAAACCAAACTGTTCCAAGAGATGGGTGAAAAGGCCTTTTCTTCCTGGTGAAAAGTTCCCGCTCTTTACCTTTTGAAGACAGGTAGCTGACTTTGTGATGGGAAGTGTCAGGAAAGTACCCTGCCCCCCTTTCCGATTATCTGGGAGCCCCATCACTTGGGTCACATGTTTTCTCAATGTAACAATTTTCAAAGCATGTCCACACTCCAAAAAAACAAACAGGAAAACAGATAGCAAGATTGGGATGGGGCAGGGAGGTCTCTTGATCAAGTTCAGAATCCATTTGGGGAAACAATGTTAAATTTCCTTTGTTGCAGTTCTCACAGCTCTTTGAAGTAGGTTGGTTACTTTCCTAAGAAGGGGTTTAGAGTATAGCATATTAAGGATCCTTTTGAGGCAGACCACACTTTTAGGAAATGCTGGTTTAATGCACCACCTTAGACGGGACTGCATTAGGTAGGATTCCAGAAAGCCCCACCAAAGTGGCTTAAATAAAGAACTCACTTTTCTCACGTAACAAGAAGTCTGTCTCATCACAGCAAGGTGAGAGGCTGTTCAGGGCTGGTACGATACCTAGATGTCTGGGAGGCAGACTTCTGTGTTCTTTGCCTTGTCTCCCTGCTCCCTGGCACATGTGAAGGACACCCCACCCCCACGCCCGTGAAGCATTGCTTTCCTAACCAGTAACCTCATCACAGATTTTTGCACAAGTCGTGGTCTAGACAAAAAGATAACTGTTCAGCAGTTACATGTTTAGACATCAAAGAAAAAGGGGGAGGTTGGACTATGTTTACTCTCTAATGTTGGCTCACCCGCCCCCAGGTCTCTAATTCCTGGCTCTTGGTCCTGCAGGTGCTTCGCATGATGGTTGGGGTGAATATCTCAGATGAGCAGCTGGGCAGCATCGCAGACAGGACCATCCAGGAGGCTGATCAGGATGGGGACAGCGCCATATCTTTCACAGAATTTGTCAAGGTCAGGCAGGACAAGTTAACTTCTGCACATAAGGAAAGGGGGTGGGGGTGGGGGACGGTCGGGGCCGGATAAGACTGGGGGTGAGATCTACTACTGTGATCTTCATAACTGTAACTGGATTTTCTTCCCCAGGTTTTGGAAAAAGTGGACGTAGAACAGAAAATGAGCATCCGATTTCTTCACTAAAGGACTGAGACCAAATTGTCCCCATCTTTCTAGTATTTAAAAGAACTGGAACTTGAGAGGTCCTTCCATCCACCAGCCCTACCTCCTTCCCATCATTCCCCTTCTCCCAGAGTACTACTGCTGCATGACCCCCAGGTACTTCCCATCAACCTAAGCCTGCCTTTGGTGTTAGACAAGGCATTACAGAGTGGTACACACCCAGCCTGTTTGTTTTCAGCATCTGATCATTGGTTCTCCATTCAGAAATAGCATCTTCCCATGTTCTGCTGAATGGCACATGTGTCCAGTCTGAGAAAACGAGAGGAAGAGTCGTGCCAAGTACCAGCCAGCAAAGCTCTTTGATGGTAGCCATGCTGCCTGCCTTCCAGCTAAGCTCTGGCATGCACCTTCCTCCTCTTAAGAAAAAGCCCTTTGTTTCTTACTTTTCCATCACCCATCATGCCATTCACCTGCTCTGTCGGTCTCCTTGCTTTTTATGAAGCCTCAGACGCCTGCTGTTCACGTGGCACCTCACGCTTTAACTGTTAAATACTCTCCGGCTTGGCAGGATAGTTCAGTGGCCTGGCAGTTTTTAGCTACCTTTCCTCATAAATGGGTGTCTGGGATCTCACTTCTCCAGGAACTTTTCAGTCACCAGCACATCTGTCTGAAGAATGGGACCCACCTGATGGTCCCCGCTCTCCGCTCGGCTGGTCATCAAAGAGCTGTTAGATGGGCATGTTCTTCTTGAAAGCTGGTGGCCTTTGCTGAGAGGTATAGAGCCCACTCTTCCAAGTGGCTGTGCTCAGGTCACCCTACCTCTGGTCGCTGACCCTCAACATCTCTATTTGCAGGACTGCTCTTGCTAGTGCGGTGTTGACTTCAGAATATACCATCTGCCTGCATCGTTCGCTTAGTTTGGGGCACACTCACCACCAGAATGGCTGTTTGTGCAATATGCTTGGGGACTTTCTCATGGCTCTTTCGAGAAACCTCGGTCACCCTATAAAGCTTCCTGTATTCACACCTCTGCAGCAGGGTTTATGCTTCAGTGTTTTGTGCACTGGAATGTTTTTCACTTCAAATTTCCAAGTAGAAAGATTAGTGTTAAGGAAGTGCCTAAACTTATCCCAGTCTAAGAGATGTAAAGCGTGTCCTCAGTGTCTTGATGTTTTGCACAAAATTCTCTTAAGAATTTCACCCTTGGAAAGTGATTATACTGGAAGCCATAGTCAGCTCCTCGGACAGGTCAAAGCATTGAATGTATTGTTAACATTAGCTGCCTGGTGACACTGGCTCCCTAGCGCCTCGTGCGGACCACAGGAAACCCTCAGAAACACGGGCCTGCGTTGATAACCAAGTGGAGGCCTCTAAGCAAGACAGAGCAACTTCTCTGCCAAAGTCAGCTTTGTTGAGACCTCATTGAATAGGGCTCGGGCCATTCCTGCATCTGTCTGCATAAGTCCATTCATCTATATATCTACTCTTGGCTGACTTTCTCTGAGTCTTTGTGTGCTTGCTTGCTTGTTTCCTTGCTGTGGACGGTGATCTGAGATGTACACACCATTTTCAGGAAGAGAATTACTGAAGAATACCACTGCAACGACATGGGGGAGGGCGAGGGAGGGAGGTAGCCGGCTGTGTGACTCGAGTATAAACAAATGATGAATTCTTATGAAGGAACAGTCTGACCAAGTGATGTCACACAGGAATTGTATGAATGAGAAGAAGTATCCGATACTGGTCTGTTAGAGCAGTGCTTCAGAGAAGTACTTTGCTTGATGCACATATTTATAATTCCTAAGATCATGACTACCCTCCTGCCCTTCCCCCACCCCCGCCCCCGCCCCTCTGGCTGTATAGCAAACTATTTTAATCCACAGTTGTGCCTTATTGTTCCATTAAAATGGTATTCTTCATTAATAAATAATTGTGGTTAAAACAAAAATAACTTGTTTAACTCAACCTATTTTCTAGATACCTCAATTCCTTTAACCAATTTCGAAATCACATTGTCTCCCTATAAAGATGGCCTGGGAGAGGAGTCTGACCGCCTCTGACCCCACAGGGGGGAAGGAGAAGCAAGGTCAACAGCCCAGAGTTTAAAGAGGCAAAGGTCAGGCATGCCTCCACATTCCGACCTTTTCACCCATCTGACACCAAGCATCTTTCTCCCGAGCACAGTCTAGACTGCTCTATAGGATAGCATAATTCATTGCAGTGGGCACACAGAACCCGTAACTGCTCATGACTGTAAGGTTTACCAGGGAAGGGACAGGTCACAGTTCCGGATGAGAAATGACTCACGATACAGTTCTTCAGTCAGGCAGCTTTTCAGCCATGCTCACGGATTGTAAGCTTCGCCCAAAGGTGCTTCGCTCTCACTCTGTGGGTCAACTGCTGGTAGGTACAAAGGGAGGACCAAACTCCAGTTGGGGGCAGTAATGATTGAAAATGCCTACATCAATGCCCTGTATGCTGTATTAAGATATGTGTTATTCTGGCAAACCTGTGATGGACATTCTCAGTGATGATGATTGTAAACTTCCTTGGTAATTAACCCCCATTGTTTGTGTAATAGTGTCTAGCCACGAAAGGATTGATTCTGTACAAGTGAATAATTCAGGTACTGTGATAAGGAGTTAGCCCAATATCCCTCTCTCAACAGGGCTTTAAAAAATAAGCAACAAGGACTAATCAAAGACAATATTAATGGAAGATTGTTATGCCTAAGGGGGATGATCAATAAGACACATCATAAATTAACAAGGAGGTTTTGAAAGGGAGCCCAAGGCAGATAAAAGAACAAAAACATTCAAGAATGGGTTTGGGCACTAAATCCTAGCTCCAATTTAAGAACAATTAGTTCTTACATCATGGCCCAGCTCAACACTCACCCTTGGGTAGGGAACACAGACGCTATGGGTGTCATAGCAGAATCTGGCAAAGAAAGTAGATGGTGCCCAAGCTATGAGATAAAGTCTGGGGTCTTAAAAGCCTGTCTCCAAATAAGCAGCCATCAAAATGAGATGTCAGCTAAGTCCACATGGAAGAAACACACCGTCAGTCACTGAAGGATTGTAAATCATATAATCAAGTCGAAGGGTGTATCAGAGCCTAAATTATGAGAATTTGGTTTGCAGAAGGCTTGATGACAGTGGGCTTCCAAGGTACATTTGTGGGAACTACATAGGAGTTTGGGGATCTGGGGATCTCCCTCTGTCCATAATTGAGGGGCAGGAGGAAAGGGTTACTAAACAGTGCACTGGAGAGATGAGAATAGAAGATCAAAAGGGGTAAATCTGACTTGAATAGTTAGAATTTGTCAATTGATCCCTCCTCTGATGCACACGACCTGATCTGATTTTCAACGTTTTCTGTAGTTTTTGTGCGTTTTAGGGTTTATCTCAGAGGTGTTATGTCATTGGGGGCCAAGCTCTTGAAGTTGTGTTATAAGTATTCCTGTCTTTCAGGATTGATGACCCTATAGGGACAGCAAGTAGAATAAGGTTTGTTTTTTGGCGGGGTAGGCGAGGGGAGGTACAATGATGGTGGTGGGTTGTAAAAGAGACAAGGATAAGGAGTCCAGGAAGATAAAAAATGTTTGGGAACATTGTGGAAGCAATTGTACAATACTGCTCGATGTGATTAAATGAGAGCCAGCTCTCTCACAACATCCAAGGAGTCAAGAGAGGCAGGGTCACAAGAAAGATATAAGATAGAGAGTCTGGACAGGTGGGACACAGGGGACTCCTGCAACACTAGTCACTCCAGGGCCCAGAACTTTACTCAAGGCAGGTTAATATGCAGTTCTTGTCCTGTATCCTGCAGTCTATGACAGGTTCTCACACAGAGAGATTGTTGACCATTTCTTGGAAGACAAGAATATCTTGAGCCAATTAAACTATGGTTATAAGGGAGTTTAACTGCGCACCATTAGAATGCTGTTTCAGCTGTTTCCCAGGAGAGAGAGCATTTACTTTATCATATTTCAAGGTCAGACTTTCAGAGTCTTAGTTTCCTGGAAAGGGCTGACTGCTTTTATCCCATGGCCATATTTAAATCATGGAATATGAATATGTGGGGATACCCTCCCCCTAAAATGGAAAATTATGCTGGGCAGGGTTCTCGTGGTACGCATTTTTCCTGTTAGGCAAGCAACTTGCTCTGAGTTAGTGCGCCCCGTGAAGTTACGTGGGAAGGTTCTCTCTGATCACACCAAATTTTTCATAAAAGTAGTTTCGCTTGACCTTGTTGCTGTTTTTAAAAAATATTTATTGAACCTTGTTTTTTGTGATGACCAATTTAAGAGAACAGCGTGTGGCTGTGAAATTTTGTTTCCTGCTAAGGAAAAATGCCACAGAGACTGTTGTGATGTTGAACCCAGCTTATAAGGACAGTGCTATGGGAAAAACTCAAGTGTATGAGTGGTTTTCTCTTTCCAAAAAAGGTGAAATGTCTATTGATGACAAATCTTGTTCAGGACACCCATCAACTTCCTGAATGGACAAAAATGCCAACAAAACTCATGCACTTGTGTTTGAAGACCGCTGATGGGCCATTGAAGAGATGGGGAAGTCATCTGGACTATCTTGGAGCTCAGTCCAGTGAATTTCAACAGAAGGTTTTGGAATGAGAAAGGTCACTATGAAATTTGTGCCTCGGGTTCTGACCGGGAAGGAGTGGCATGAAGACACATGCTGTGCTTTGAAAGAATAGTTCTGAAGGGAACCAGACTTTTTCAAACAAGGTCATTACTGGTGATGACACATGGTGCTATTCTTAGGACCCTGAAAGCAAACATCAATCAATCCAGTGGAAGATGCCATTGTCACTTCATCCCAAAAAAAGCTCATCAAGTTAAATCAATGACCAAGACAATACTCATTTGTTTTTATATGAGTGCATTTGGAGTTTGTTCCACCAGGTCAGACTGTTAATCAAGCTTTCTATTTAAAATTCTGGAAACATTGCGTAACAATGTGTGACCAAAAAGACCTTATTTGTGGCAGACGGGGAACTGGTTCTGCCACCACGACAATGCACCTGCTCACACAGCCATCTCAGTGCTACAGTTTTGGGCAAAAACAGCATGTCTCTCGCCCCGCTCACCTGACTCACCTGACCTCATTCTGTGCAACTTCTTTTTGTTTCTGTGAGTGAAGAGGGACATGAAAGGACAGCAATTTGATGACATAGAACAGGTGAAGAAAAAAAAAACGAGGGAGGTGCTGTCCGCCATCCAAACAGATGAGTTTTCAAAATGTTTCCAAGCAGCAGTAGGTGTAAAACATGAAGGGGGAAAAAAAGATAATTTATAGATTGTGAGGTGGGGTGTGGGGGAGAGAGGGAGGACGGAGG